CTCCCCTCAGCAGTGTATTTCAGTCCATCTGCCTGTTCTGCTCCCCACTCTATCTCTGGTGAATCCTCTCATCGCCCCTGCACCTCTGGCCTGTACCCCAGTTCTGTATGCATAAATAAATAAATCTTTTTTAAAAATAATAACAGTCCAGGGGGAGGATGATCTGAGCATAGAAGAGACTGACCCTGAACAGTGTTTAATGCACAGTAAGCACATGTCAAATGCAACTCCACCTCCATCATCATGAACGAAGTAATGATGAGAGCTTACTTATAACTTGACATAGATTAGTAGGTGAGGTCTTTATCATAACAATGTTCCTTCTCTGACACTTAACTTTGTGTCTCGGGCAAGCATTAAGCTTCTCTGTCTTGGTTGTCCCATATAGGGAATGGGAATAATGTTGCTTTTCTCTCTTACTCCACAAGGCTGTGATCTGGGTGAGATGTAATAACGAAGATTTGCACGCACTGAAAACTGCAGACTGACTCATACACAAGATGCCCCTGTTGCCCTCGGGTTTACAGATAAATGCTTTGCAGGCAAGTACATAGCCATACAAACAGATCAAAAATTCAACAAACCCCAAGGGGGTTGTGGTGGGCAGGACCTAGCAACACTGAAATGAGATTTCCTGCCACCCCGAGAAGTAAGGTTGTAGGCAACCCTATTGGGGTGGAGTCAGGAAGAAGGGGGTGGCCCACAGACTTGATAACCAGTCTGCTTCCTCTGCCAGTCAGCCACATCAAAGTTGGATAAACTGTTTCATTCATCTCCATGGCAACTGGCTCCATAGCCCCATGGGTGGAGGGCCCAGGTCGCAAGCGCCTTGTCATCTCCTCCCTATGTCCCTGATCTGACCTATCTTTTAAGCTAACATCACTCCCCACCCTGAAGGCCCCCAGAAATGTGAAACCATGTAGGCAAGCACTGGTCCTCACAAATTGCTCTCAAAGGGAGCCGTTACTATACTCCCATTTTGCAGACAGGGATAGCAGGGTACCTTTAGTTAAAGGTCTTGCTAAAAGGCCCACTGCTCCAGGATTTGAAATGATAATGGTCTACTCCCAAGTACTGACCGGCAACAAATGATTTGGCCTCAGCTTCTCTGGGAGCTCCAGAGAAGCTCTCAGGCCTCCAAGTCATGTCCTCTCATTGCACTCCTCTGCTGGAATTATTGGGGATGGGGACACTCAGAAATAAGCAAATTATATATATATATAATGCCTTTACAGAATTACACTAAAACATTTTTTAACTATCCCATTTAAGAAAAAGGTAATTTGGCTTAACTTCACATTTACCACTTTAAACTGCCATTTGCTACAAAGGTTACTTGGTGGGTACAGAATGAGTGATTTTTTTTTTTTAAGATTTATTTATTTATTCATATAGAACTGGGGTACAGGCCAGAGATGCAGAGGGTGAGAAGATTCACCAGAGACAGAGTGGGGAGCAGAACAGGCAGATGGACGAAGTACACTGCTGAGGGGAGCAGCGGGTGGGTCAGGAGAGGTCTGCCTCGCCATGTGGTCACCTCCGGGGCAGGTGGGGATTGAACTCATGCGAAAGTGGCTTTAGCTTCTTAGTGCAGTGCTTTAACCCACTGCGCCACCAGGGAGGGCCGAGTGGTTTTTGTTTGGTAGACAAGATACCTTAAAGGTTACAGTTTTACTTGCTGGTATGATAGTAACTAATTTTGCACTCTTATTCTGATTTATATGAGAAACTTCATCTCTTCTTACACCCTCCTTAAACAGCTCTACCACCTTGTCTACTGCCTTGTAACACACACGTCTTTGAAAACTGCTCACTATCAATTTGTAAGCGTGTTAGGTTTTTAACTATCAATTTGCAAGCGTGTTAGGTTTTTAACTATTTGAGAATGACTCTCTCCCATTAGAAAGAAGTAATGGTTTCTACCCAGCTTCAGTTTTCCCTGGAGAAGTTCCCAGCATGGGCAGCCTATGTCAAGTGTCCCTTTCCACTATTTACCTTCTCCTGGGTCACTGGCATAGCTGAGACCTCACATGGCCCCAAGACAATGTCCAGAGAAGACCCTCAGCAGTAGGTAACAAGCTCCCAGGGGCCCCTCTGCTCTGAATCCAAGCACCCTCCTTCCATTTCATCTATGGCTGCTGTTCTGCATGGCTTTTGCCCCCCAGGCTTTGAACCTCATGATCCCAGAGTCTGGACACACCATGGCCCCCTACCCTCCCCATCTTGTTTCTGGGTAGTGGAGAGCAGAGATTCTGCCCAACTGTTCATTAGACTACTGCATGGCACAGTGCCTACAGCTGAGGAGAGCCAACTGGTTCCACTCCAAATGGGAAGCAGTCTCTGTGCACAGCCAGCCCAACTCAACCCAATCTAAGACTCATTCATTTCAAGAAAGAAAAAGTATTCTTAGAGCCCTCCCTGGTAACACAAGGGGTTAAAGCACAACACTATGAAGCTCTCTGTAGCCACTGTAGCACAAATTTAAGCCCCAGCTAGGGAGCTGACCCACATGGCCCAGCATACAAGAACTGGGGTACAGGCCATAGGTGTGTGTTGTGGGGGGCGGTGAGAGGATTCACCAGAGACAAAGTGGGGAGCAGAACAGGCAGACTGACTGAAATACACTGCTGATGGGAGCAGCAAGTGGGACAGGAGAGGTCTGCTGTGCCATATAGGTAGCTTTCTGGACGGGGATCAAGCTTGTGCTCTATGGCTGGGGGTAACTTCATAGCGCTGTGCTTTAACCCCTCGTGCCACTAGGGAGGGTCCTCTTTTTAATGCTTTAGAGAACATGTCTCTTCTCACCAGTAGGAGTATTTTCATTCTTTGTCTTTTTACCAATTTGATAGGGGTAAAAGGATATCTCATTCAATTTTACATTTTCTTTATTGCTAGTAAAAGCAAATAATTTGAGGGGTATTTTTCAGGCCTTTATGGTATGTGTAAATCATGATCGTTATTCAGATTTCCATTGTTGTGTTTGCCTATTTTTAAGATTAACTCGAAATAATTTTTCATAGATCAGATACATGGATTTTGTTGCAAATATTTTTCTTAGTTTGTAATTTACTTACAATGAGTTTTGCTGTATAAAAGTGTGCACTCAGGGCCCTCCCTGGTGGTGCAGTGGGTTAAAGTACAGCACTAACAAGCTAAAGCCGCTTTAGCATGAGTTTGATCCCCACCCCGGAGGTGACCCACATGGTGCGTCAGACCTCTCCTGACCCGCCCGCTGCTCCCCTCAGCAGTGTACTTCCTCAGTTTGCCTGTTCTGCTCCCCAATCTGTTTCTGGTGAATCCTCTTACCATTCCTACTCCTCTGGCTTGTACCCCAGGTCTGTATGCATAAATAAATAAATCTTAAAAAAAAAAAAAAGTGTGCACTCAAATTTGTCAGTGTTTTCTTTCACAATTTTTACCTGTTGGGGGGTGGTTGACATGTTTGGGAATTTTTCTACATTTGAGGCCATGCCACTATTTTTCTTTTACTTTTATAGTCTAAATTTTCACACTTATAGCGCAATCCATCTGAAAGCTATTTTCATGTTTGAGATGGTACTCTTATATTTTACTGAGGTAGAATTCTAACTATTTTTATGGTCTGTTAATTAGCCTGATACCATTTGACCAATTACTTCCATAGGTTTGAAGATACCTCTTTGTCACACAATAAATTTTTGTCTATTCAATCTGTTTGTAGCTATTCAGTTTTCTTCCATTAATTTAGTTATTTTTGTGCCTATGTGTAGTATTTTAGTAATGATAGCATTATAGCACCTCTGAAGACTGATAAAGAAATATACCATTCTTACTCTTCTTTAAGATAATAAACATATGAATGCTATAGTAGAGCATTTGTTCTTTCAAATGGGCTTTATTTTTGTTAAATTTAAAAAGATATTGTGACACATTTATCATAATTACATTTATTTCCCTAACACCTAGTGTTATTAATTCAATCCAGCAACATGTCTTTTAAATTGTCCTTCAGCCAGTTGTTTTCTCTAAATAAGAAATTATTCACATTTCTTATTAATTTTACACCTTTACTTGCTGTTGTCAATTTTTCCCATTATATTTTCTTACTAACTAATAGTATTATAAGTATTATAATTTCTTCAGCTGATTCTTTTTGTCCTGACTGATAGACAAGCAATTGTCTGCTCCCTACATAATTAAAATTTATCTTCTCCAGTAGAGGATATATTTTTTCATTTTTGTCTTTTTGCATAGGCAGAATACTTATACGCCAAAAAGGAATATTATTGACACAAATGGAAATGCCTCTAGAGTTTCATTGTGGCAGGGGGAGAGGCAACCTCATTGAGAACAGTTCTCTACAGTACAGTTTACAGTTCCACATTATTAGAGGAGTCTTCAATATCAGGACTGGCTATTGGCTTTTAGCAAATAACTTGAAGGCATCTAGTGAGATGTTTATGTGACCTTCTACCTTTGAAACACTGATGTGATAAATTACTCCAATGTCAATACCCATCATATTTGATTACATTTTCTTTTGCTCAACAAGTCTTTTTGACCTAATTTAAATCTCTTATAACACCTACTATTTACCAAGAACTACTTTTCAGCCCTACATATGAAAAGTTAGTGACAGGCCATGTCCACACATGTTATGGTGCCCAACCACCTATCCATTTCTGGCAGTAGACACCTTCCCGACCTGAATTTATTCAAACATATTTCCCCCGATTTGCAAAGAGAACAAACAAGGGCCTCTTTCAATACTGTGAAAGGTGTGGGGTGGGGTGGGAGGTTCTTTGACCAGGGAAGCCCCAGAGATCCCTTGGTTAACCAGAGCAGAGGCACAGGCCCTAGGCACAGGATCTGTGTTTGTATCCTGAACCCATGGAGTTCCTCTGTGAGTTGCCCCCTGTATGGTTATTAGCCATCTAGTGTTTTGTGTACCAAAAAGAGGAGACCTGACGCTTTGGAACAATGCAGAGGTATGCAAGGTGAGAAGGGTCATGCCAAAGAACACTTCCTGAAAAGCTAGAAACCTCCTGATCACATGACCCCTATCCCACAAGCCTGCTGCCTCAACACTCACCTGGGGCCTTGAGTTCAGCATCAATGAAGGTGAGCAGTTCCTGGCAGATGCTGCAGTAGGGAACAGGCCAGGTCAGGAATCTATGGTAGGTTCTGGATGCTTTCAGAAGGAGATCTGAATCTGGCGGGAAGTGTGGTGTCTGGGATGGAGACAGGGCAAACACAGAGGTCTGGGTGAGAGAATGCTCACTGGTCTTCCAGAACAGACATTTTGGAATGTTCCATATAAGATACATGTTTCCTGGCAGCAGTGTCCCAGGATAAGGCCAAGAAAAATGGAAAGTTACTTGCAGGGAGTAAGTTACAGAGGGGCAAAGGGTGCCAGGGAGGTCTCTACATAAGGACCTAGGTTTTACAAAGCATAACACGGTTTTGCCCAATACTTAAGGGCATCTCTGAAAAGCTCTCACCTTGGAGGTTTCCTAAATGGTGTCATTGGTGCCCCTCACTTCAGGGAATGTCTTAACCACCTGTATTGAAGTTGCTTAACCAGAGGCAAATGCTTATTCTGTGAAGTGAATTGATTCAATATGCATGGAGCCATTTAGTGGCGTGAGTCCAGTGAATCTAAGGGGAAACTTGGTGAAACTGACCCTTGGGCCACAAAATGAGGCAGGCCTAAAACTACTCCCAGAAGCTTGGATAGCCCGGGAACAGGCTGTGACAGCATTCCTCCATGGGAGCCCAGCTATGCCAGGCACAATGGCATCTGCAGGGAATTGCTGGAGGCTTCTGCTTTCTGAGGCCCTTGAAAGGTTGACACCCTTCCCCAGGGTCACTGCTTGATGATTTCTTTCTCTTGTCTGTCTCTGGAAGTGTGAGGGCTATGTCCCCACTCAACCCCATGGAGGAGGTTCTTCCCTGGCCTCCTCCTCCTCCCAGCCTGGCCCACCCTGGAACTTACACCAAGGACAGTGGAGTAGAAGAGCAGAGCCAGAGGGGTCAGCAGGTCATAGGTGCCCTTCTCCAGGACCTGTGGGGAGCACAGTGGGGGAGTGAGGCGTGTTCCCAGGGCACAGGAACACTATTTCTTTTCTTTTTTTTCAAGTGAAGACCAATGTAACCATACACAAAATTTGGAAAATAGAAGTAAAAAAAACAACTTAGAAAACCCACAATATCCCTTTCCAAACTCAAGCACAGCTAATTTTTCAATATATTTCTCCTTATACCAATTTTCTCTATGAATTCTCTTCTGCCACATTATATAGTCACACATGTATGTTTTCACTCTTAATATCTTTTGCATATAATTATATAAATGAATGTCTGATTTGCTACATGTTATCCAGTGACCTGTTATTTTCACTGTAAATATATTTTCTGGTCTATTGTTTCAACTTTTAATTGAATGATTTTTTTAATGTATGGAAATAACAAGGGTTGAGTTTTTCCTTTGTGAATTTTTGCTTTTGTGTACAAGGATCATGCATGTATCTCTATATTTTTTTTTCTTTTCTTTGAAGCTTCACTTTCTTAAATTAAAAATTTGAATCCATTTAAATTCCATCAGCTATGTGGTATGAATTGGAAATCTCACATTGTATTCTTCTAAATGTTTCATCATTCCCCTAGACCATTTCATAAATGGTCTTCCTGATTTGATCATATTTTAAATTTGATCATATATTAAATTTTGGTTATACCTTTGGAGAATAGCCATCACTTTTTATTAGCTGCATATTATTCTTTCTAGTAGATCACTATCATTTTGGTTTCATTTTGAATGTCTGAGATTATTTTCTTGCTACTTAAACACTTGTGCAACAAAAATCTTTGAGCGCTTTTTTTTCTATCATTTGAATTATTTATTAAGATAAGGGTTCAATAAATGAATCAACTGATTAAAGACAATAAACATATTCACGATGTTGATGGAAATGCCTATCAAATGGTCAAATTGTTTTCCTAAGGGATGTGGCCATTTATGATTTTCTAGATATATGAAAGTATAGCTCCACTATATTTTTCCCTGCATGGGATTTTTTTTTTTTTTTTTTTGCCTAATTTGCTATTATAACTGAGGGAACATTTATTTTTCCCATATTTGTTTATAATTCTATTTATTCTTTCGTGAATTGTCTCTTTGATTAGCACCTGCTCACCACACCACAGGCCCGCAGGATTTAGTGTTTTGGCTGAAAATGCTAAAGCTCTCTTGGGCCGTGGTGGAACTCATGGTGCTGAAGACGCATCGTCTCTGCTGTGCTCCATGATTTCTGCAGGCTCAAATTTAGAATTCTTCTCTTTACCCTGAATACACCGTATGTCCACATACAGGCGGCAGGGTCCTTCCTACAACACCCTCCCTATTGCTACATGGCAGCTGATTCTGTGCATTTGGTGGATGGTTTAAGCATCCAGAGGTGGTTTCCAGTTGGTCTGCTCGTGACTAGGATGTAAAAGCACCAGATAAATGGTAATGGCAGAATCAGAACCTCGGGTGTCCTGATAAACCCAGCCCTTGTTCTTACAGGTACAGTTAACATGTGAGAGAACATTGCATGTTTTCTAACTCACTCACGTATTTTAAAAAAAAACCTGAAACTTACAAAAGAATTCTTTACAGAAGAACCAGAGTCCTCTCCAAGGACCCACAGCTGTTCTGGAACCCCAGTCCAGCTCAGCATTCAACACACTTCCTCTTCTTAACCACTGAAGCTTGTTCAGGCAGCTTTCATCCCAAGACTGCCTGCTGTGTCTATGCAGGCGTCTCTTTTAACAAACCTGTTCCTTTCAGGGGAAGCTCTTTCTTTCTTTCACACTAGTTTCTGTGCAAGTGTTCTTTTCTTTCTTTTTTTTATGTAAGAAACCTGACCTTTTGGATATTAAACAAAACAGCTTATTTATTGAATTACTGGAGGAAGTTTCAGTTTACTTTTTCAGTCTATTTTCTCTTTCACATCTTTATTCTTTTCTCTTTTTAAAGATTTATTTATTTATGTATGCAAGAACTAGGGTACAGGTCAGAGGTGTGGGAAGTGAGAATATTCTCCAGAGACAGAGTGGGGTACTGAAATACACTGCTGAGAGGAGAAATGGGCGGGTCAGGAGATATCTGCTACTCCATGTGGGTCACCTCCCTGGCCGGGGATCAAACTCATGCTGCAGTGGCTGCAGACAGCTTCATAGTGCTATGCTTAACCAATTGTACCACCAGGGAGGGACCCCATCTTTATTCTTATGGATCTTCTTGAGGAAAGAAATTCAGGACAGCTTTCTCTTTCCTTTACAGTTAATGCCTTGATTTACAAGCACAGTCTGCCTCAAGAAGCAATTAAACTTTGAACTCTGGTTCTCACTTCTTGTGTTCTTATTGAGAAGACCACACCTCTTCCTAGAAACCTCTAATCCATGAGCACTCTGGAACCAAAGAGCCTCATGGTCCCAGTGCCTTTGCCAAACCCTGTGATGGTTCAGGCATCCCTGAACTGACATCTGTATGGACCCATTTCTTGAGTACACAAGATCAGGCCCATCTTTGCCCTTTAATCCCTGGTTTTCCCTCACCTCTCGGGTTTTCTGCAGGATTAGTTCCAGGAGGATAAGGAAGTGGCCCGGGTCTCTGCTGACCAGCTCCTGTAGGCTCCAGCAGTTAAGACACAGGCCAGCTGGAAAGAGAGACAGAGATGATCTTGGGGTAGGAGAGAGGGGGGAATCCGTAGTGAGGACATTCCTTACTTAGGAAAGATACTCAGGAAATATTGGATTAATATTCAACCTTATCATGCTTCATCACAACATAAGGGTAAGTTCTTCAGTCTTGCAAACAGTAGGCTCAAGAGACATACATGTGCTCTGGGATTCCTTTAGAGGCCAATAGTTGGGTCATGATTTTGAGCCCCTGCCTCTGCAGACCACCATTTCTCTCCACTACTCCATTACTCTGGCTTCCTAGTATGGAAACAGGGAACTCTGAGATGCAAGAAAGGAGGACAGAGGCAGAGAATGCTAGAAGAATGAGGTCCACCTGCAGCACACAAGGCAGAGTCAATGACAGCCACTACATGAGCTAGGACTATCTAGCCATGAAGGTCAGGAAGGGGAAGCTACATTCACATACATTTTGAAAGCTACAATGAGCATTTGTGACTCTCTAACTTCCCCAGACTTTCTTGGTCAATCTCTATTTTGCTGTAGTTAGCAAGGGTAAACCCCTAAAAATTAAAGGGGAGGTCTCCTAGGGGTGTGTCGGGGGGGGCAGTGAGAGCAGTGGAAGCACAATTAGATTAACCATGAGTTTCATAGAGCTGAAGCTCAGGCAGCCTCATGTGCAAAAGCTCCTTTTAAAATCCTGGAGGAATCTATCTAGCAGTGGGTTCACGTGGGCATAGCCTTTGTAAAGTTTGCAAAAGTCAGACATTTTTGTATTCCTGAATTTAGTTTAGGCTTCCTCAAAATCTGGTTAGGAGAGAAGCAAGAAGACAGCTACCATTCACTCACCCCCTGCTGTCTGCTAGTAAGGTGCTAGTCCTGTGTGCACATTATCTCCAAGTCTCCCATCCTCCCTGCAGGAAGGTGGTTTGTGTGGTTACTATTCTCATGTCAAAGGCCAGGCAAGTGGGGCCCTGTGGCATGGTTACACAGCCAGTAAACGGCAGTATGAATTTAGGTCTGCTTAATTCCACAGGCCAAGGAGTCTCTAACTACCTCCGAGGGAGAGTTAGGGAGGGAAATGAGATATGGGGTGTGAACAATCTTGACAAACATAAAACAATATCACAAGTAGGATGAGTCCTCAAAGCCTCAACTGTCTCAGCCTGCTGATACCCCTCTTCCTCGGGCCTGGGAACAGGGAACATGGTAGCCTCTTGTTCCCCGAATCTCTGCTACGATGCTCCTTGGTTCTATAGGGGAAGAGAAAGTTAGGCTGTGGAAGGAACTAGAAGAACTAGAAGTCAAGTAAACAGGAAAGTTGCCTACAAATTCCCAGCTGCATTTTGGAATCAGCGTATAGTATTTCTAAGCATGTTCAACACCCTCTTTAGGAGCGATACCTCTGCGTAGGTTGAAGAAGCAAGACACAGCACTTGGGAGTGACGGAGCTAATCATGAAAGGCGGGGGGGGGGGGGCGGGCAGTGGAGAACAAGGCCGCCTGTGGAGGTCCTGTATGGCCAGGTTTCCAAGCAGGATCCAGAGATCGTCACAACAGTGCCTTGGGGCCCAAGGTGGTTCCCCAGGCCGTGAGACCCACCTGACCAGGATGTGGACCTGCGGCTGAGGCTGATCCCGTGCAAGCAGCGCTCCAGGGCATGCAGGATGCGGTCCTCCGTGCACGTCGTGGCCCCTGGCTGCATCCTGAGTCATCGCCTATGTGGGAGCAGACATTGGTGAGCCTGGGAAGCCCACCAGCAGGCCACAGAGCTGCAGGAAGTGAGGGGTCAGGGTTGTGTGCAGATCTGCAGAGGTCTGTGTGTCCTAGTGGATACCACCAAACATCTCCTTTGCCCTACAGGGGGTGGCCAGGGGGTGGGCTCACCCCAGTGAGCTGAGCAAAAGGACCTTAAGGAAAAAACAGAATCAATTATTCTCTAGGTTTCCAGGCCTGTAGCTCCCACCATTCAGGGATGTGCAGAACCACAGAGATGCTCCTTCAGTGTACTGCGTATGCCAACACTGAGGCCCTGGGGGGACTGCTGTCACACGGTCCCTAACCCACCCCATCTGCTTGGGTGCCCAGGGCACGTGCAGTAACTAGGTCCTCTTCTGCTCTCTCGTCCACTTTGGCCACTGTCCTTGCTTTTGCTGAGGCTTGGCATAAGTGGCTTGGCCACTTATCCAGAGACCTCACTTAAGTCTTCTCCCTTGTCCTGTTGAGGAGCAGTTTCGAGGGAGGGTGCTTAGCTCAGGCCCGAAGGAAGCCTGCTGAGAAGGGGATTTAGCATCCACTGGGAAGTGCATCAAGAGCACATCATTCTGAGAGCCTTCATCAGAGCCAGCCCAGCTTCTCAATTACGTGACAGCATGTCTGTGTCCCACAGAAAGCTGATGTCAGGCAGCTCAGCACAGTGAGTTAAGCCTGACAACAAACTTGGACCCAAATCTTGACTGTGCTATTGCTACACCACTTTGGACAAAATCTTGAACTTTTTGGAATCTCAGTTTACTCTTCTATAAAATGCCACAGGGCGATACCAGACGAGACAAATAAACCTTCAAGATGTGAAAGTCACCACGATACAGTCTGCCACCACCACTCTCCCCAGCAAAGTTGCTGCATTCAGCCTGTCCAGGCAGAACCCATGCTGGTCAGTCACACCAGGTCACACAGAGGAAGCTGAGGAAATAGCCGTCCAGCTCTGTGGAACCAGGGACAGACCAGAAAACCGCAGGCAGGAAGGCTTCAGAGTTGAGCTACGCAAATGACATGCAAAGAACAAGGAGATCCCGTTGCACCCAGCTTCAGGGCCAAGGGGGTCTGGCCAATGGAGGCCCAGCACGGGCAGCACAGCCAAACCCCTCCTTCCCTCCTCCCCCAGCCTGAGGGGAACTATGGGTCCAGTAAACAGGAGCCTTTGTGAGCTGTCCAGCACTTCACCCCAGTGACTTTCTTGGGAGGGTGGGGGGTGGCCTGGGGAAGCAGCACCCCGAAGCAGCAGGTACTCCATGGTCTCCATGCAGCAGTCTACAGTCACAGCCAACTGTCGTGGGGGGGGGGCCGGGGGTGAGGGGTTGGTCCTCAGTGACACAATGCCCACCTCAATTCAAGAAACTGGGCAGACAACAGGCTTAGGTGGTGGACTACAGGTGCCTTGGTTCCAGGTGAGACGCAGCAACAACACCTGGAGGCAGATCCTGGTACACAATGATGTAAACCAATTGATGTTACTGCAACTGACAAGTAGAATAAAACCGTTCTCAAATAGTAAGGCAGAAAGAAAAAATTGGGAAGAGAGAAGGGGTTGCCAACCAGCAGAGCGCTCTTTCTCCCCCCAAAGCCAAGAACCAAGAGCAGAGGGGCTGTAAGAGAATCCCTGTCAGAACAGTGCCTGCCACGGTGGATGCTGCCTTATTGTTTCCACTTTCTACCCAGCCAGCAAATTGCAGGTCCATTGCTAGGCAAGGCAAGACCCCTCTTGGTGTGAGGGTCACTAAGAACAAACCGGACATGAGCTGTTTTGTTGACAGTTCACCCTAGAAGCGCCCAGAGGGTGAGGGAGATGGCGCAGCAGGAGGCTAAAGTTGGACCATCGCTGCCCGCCAGGGTAAGCAGAAGGGGGAAGGAGGAAAAGGTGGAAAATCTGTGAGAGAAGTTAAGCCACTTGCTTAATGATTGCACAATGAGGAGTTGGCAAAGCCATAATATAGACCAAGTGCTTCTGGCTATTCACCACTACTGTACCCTCTCCTAAACACAGGTAGATACAATGACTGGAGGATAAAATTTACGTTTCTACCCGGAAAAGTGAGGGCACAACTAACTATAGCATGACCTTGCTTTAAGAGACTGGCAATCTGGAGGCCATCGTGTGTGTCTACACCAGCTCCCCACAGTTCTGCTCTTCCAGAGACAGGACTGGGATTCCCAGAAGCAGCACTCTCGGCTAACATGGGAGAGGACTCCTCGCCTGCAAGGAGTCAAGGGCCAGTCATCTGTGTCACGAGGCAGGAAAGAGTCACCCTGCCCTACAGTGTCCCAATACAACTGCTGGGAATGCAAGATGCAAATGAACATTCTTGGCCAGACAACTTCCTCAGCACCCCTATCTTGGGGCGTAAGAACGTTGTTGGGCTGCTCCCCAGGGCCCTCACAATGCTGGCCGGCCCACACTTCTTCCCCTCCCGAGGCGTCCCATCCCCTGGCCTCAGTGTCCCCAGCTGTTCCATGGGGGCGATCAAGGCTTCTCCATGAAGGGCCTCCCCCAGGCACTGGGCAGTGAGCATCCCCGGGGTGCCAGCCTCTCTGGCATCCTGTGGCCTTCCAGAGCCTGCCCACGCTCTTCTTAGACAGGACCTGCCCAAGGTGCTGGGCTCTGGGAGCAGGGGGAAGGGGAAGCTGGGGGTTGCAGTGAAGGGGTCCTCTACTGAGCTGCCCCCTCAGTAGAGGGGCCACCCAGCGCTTCATTCACGGCATGCTCACTTCTGTATGAGTCAGTCATCAGCTGTTTCTTGTCCCTTGTCAGCAGAAACCCAGTGACTGTGGGGTCAAGATGAAGGAAGGGGAAAATTAGCATCCTCTTGCTCTCCCCAAGGGTGATGACTTTCTTGAGGCTTGGCCACCCTCGTCACCTCACTAAGCGGAGCTCTCTTATGAAATTCCAACTGCTGCCGGAACAGAAATGGCCCGCTTTCCTGCTGTGGGCTGCGCTCAGCCGCAGGGCCTGCTACCACCTCCTAGTTCCTCTTCTGAGCTAGTAAGGATGAGATCTTACCGGGGAGCCTGGACAGGACAGTGAGGGCTGGAGTTGGAGGATGGGGACCCCATCAAGCACAGAGCAAAACCTTTTCATGTGTTAGCATAAGCCCACAACACAAGTCAGGGGTGTCTCCCCTAAAGAGCGGCCCAGGTGCAGCCTCCTCAGGCTCCCTGTGAGGAGCAGGAAGGAGGGACACCTCTGTTGGGGACTCCTCCAACAAGTCTTCTTCCCACAGGTGGGCAGAAGAATAGGGCAAAGTGTGCTTGTTCAAATCTGTGGGTGAAATTCGGAGGCCATACAAGATATCTACATATTTTCAGAGTATTTTCCTCTAGAGAGTTATCAATCACAAAGTGGCAAATAATTAACTTCATGGTGGAGACATCTAGCACCACCTTAATCTCACAATCAAAGTTAATATCATAAAAAAATAAGACATATCAACTTCATGTGTCCCTAATACGATGTGCTGGAAAATAAATGGCACTATTTCTGTGGGATTCTTGCCCAAAATGTCTGAACCTAATCTAATCATGAGAAAACATCAAAGTCTGATTAAGAGACTGATGAAATGAAGTGACTGATCAGTTCTCACCAAGGTGTCAAGGTAGCCAGTAAAAAACAACAACGCCAGCTACCCAATTAAACAATGGGTAGAAGACGTGAATAAGAAAACACACAATGGCCAACAAGCACATGAAAAGATACCACTCATCATCAGGGAAATGAAATCAAAACCATCAAGAGATACGACCTCATATTCATTAGAATGTATTATAAAAATAAATAAGTGTTAGCACAGATGTGGAGGATTGGGGACATGTAAAATGGGAACAGCGGCTGTCCGTATGGTGATTCTCAAAAAATTAAAAACTGAACTACCACATTTGATCCAGCAATTTTACTTTGGCGCATACACCCCAAAAATTGAATGCAGAGACATTAACAGGTATTTGTATACCTGTGTTCTAGAAGCATTATTTATAACAGCCAAAAAGTAGAAACAAACCAAGGTCCCTCAACTGATGCTAAATAACAAAATGTGCTGTATACGTATGGTGGAATATTATTCAGTCTCAAGAAAAAAGTCTCACACTACAATATAGATGAGTGTTAAGCATATTATGCTAAGTGAAATAAGCCACACACACACGCACACACACACATACACACACACACACACACAATACTGCATGATTTTGCTTAAACGAGGCACCCAGAGCAGTCAAATTCATAGAAACAGAAAGTAGATGGGTGGTTGCCAGCAACTGGGACTGGGGAGGTGTTGTTTCATAGGAGCAGAGGTTTAGTTTTGTAGAGTGAGGCGCTCTGCATGATAATGTATATGACAATGTGAGCATACTTAGCACTACTGAATTATACCCTTAAGACCGTTGAGATGGAAAATTTTATGTCATGCATTTTAACACATTTTAAAAGTAAAAAGAAAAGTGATATTACATAGGGATGTCAGTTCTCTGTAAGCTTCAGTCTAAAGAATAAGAAAGATGGACAGAAAGGAGGAGAGAAGGAGAGGGAAGGAGGGAGAGAATGAAGTTAGGTTGTGATAAATGGCTGTCAGCTCCCATGCCGGGCACTTCCACCTGATTACCTGCTTTAATGATCATAACCACCATGGTACCACCCATTATAGTTCCTACAGTTCAGGTGGGGGGAATCAGCTATTTATTTGGCTAAGTTCTTGTGGTCACAGTTCCTGTGACCTGCAGAAGAAGCGCACCTGAAGTTGGCCTGACTCCCAAAACGCATGTCCTTTCCTGTGCCAAGTTCATAAGAAATCATTTCTGTTTTCTAGATACTCAAAGGTCTGAGTTCATGGTTGCACTTCTGTGTCATAATCTGAGCCACCTACAGAAGATGTCTTGCACAGAACTTGCTGAATTCTCCTGGTCAGTGATTCATTCTTCATGGGCCAAGTTTAGTCACTCCTGT